TGGGAGAGGGAGAAACAGGCTCCCCGCTGAGCAGGGAGCCCGATGTGGGGCTCGATCCCAGGACCCTGGGATCATGACCTGAGCCGAAGGAAGATGCTTAACTGACTGAGCCACCCAGGTGTCCCTGGTACAGATTTCTGAAGGACAATTTGACAATCAGTAGTTATCAAAAGTCTTAAAATGCTTTTACTCAGTTAATACTTAGCAAATAATTCATTCCAATTAAGATTTCCACTTTAACTTATTTGTAAACAGATAGTTAAAATGAAAAGAACAGATATTTTTATGGTGCAGTTCAGAAGATTTACCAAAGCCCAAACAGCAAGATTTCTCCAATTTCTCTCTTCAACTGGAAACGTGAAAAGAATCAAAGGGAATAAATTAAACTCTTAGTGCTCCCGTGTGCTTAACTGCTGCAACCACCACAGGGGGGGCAGCCTTCATGATACCAGAAGGTAAGAAGAGAATGGAGGGATGGAGTCCTGCTCCACCCGGCCCCCAAGCAATGGAGGCAAGTGTCACTATATTAAAATCTCATGTTAGTACTTTCCTATAGTTTGTTCAAACTTCTTTAATTACTGATTTCAGATGGTCTAGTTGATACTCTTCTATGAAGGATTCTGCTTGATTCAAAGCTTTTATTTTCACCAGAATAGGAATTATTTCTTTGACTTCATCCCTGAAAAACAAAAGTTTGAGAGCCTAGTGAATCATTAGTTGTTAACCCGAAACAAAAATTTTAAACCCATATCTAAAATTATTCAGATGTTATCTTTTCCATACAGTGTTCAAATATAGGTTATTAGGGGATGTATGCTGGCAAATTTTAATGTGAATGACTGTAAAAACCAGTTAAATCTATCATCAGAAAACTGAGTTACAGTGTGGGGCTATCAGCTTGGTGGGAGCCTCTGTGGGAACATTTACCCACAGAAATGCTACAAATCTGTGCTTTTTATTTAAAAATTTTTTAAACTTTTGGGGAAGTGGTTTACCAGAACATTACTGTACATTTAGTGGTGTTAAGCCCCTAAACATTTGGTGCTGTTAATGAAACATCCAAAACAGATTCTAGTTATTGATGGGTAAAGAGCAGGCTGCAGACCTGTACTTGACACCTGCTGAGATTTTAAAATGCTTATTTTGGAAGAGATTTACATTTAAAAATATGAACTATTAGGCATGAGGTGTGAGTATAAAGTAGTGATTCCAAAGACTGCACATAAAAATATCTACTAATTCTAGAGTGGTAGTCTCCACAGACTTTTAAAAATAGAATAAAAGTACAAATCTAAAAATTGCTGAGTGTAAAATAGAATCGTTGAACTGTGCGATTATGGAGATACAAATATGCAAAATTACCTGAATTCACTTCTAGATAATTTATGTGCACACTGCAACAAAAACTGGATGAAGTTTTCTAGCTGGGGAATAGACGTTCTCATGGCAGAGTTTTGGAACCATTTTTCTGGTAAATATGCTGCTATCTGTTAATTAAAACACACGGTCAGTTTTTAATAACAGTTATCTAAGGCCTTTTGCTAACATCAGTCCATCTCATTTAATCCTTTATGGTTATGGTAGAATAAATTTTGAGAATTTTCCTTTGTCAAAGTTTATACTTCTTAAAAAAATTGTATTTTAATGCCAAGAGCTTAAAATAGACTATTCTTTATGATTACTCTCTAGGGGTATTTGTAATACTATACTATTTGTAATTCCTATACTCTGTATTCCTAAGCCATTAAATCTGTACAAATGCCATTTACAACTAAACACCAGAAATGCCTAGACACAGTCAACATAAATATAAAATACATTTTAGTATTATTTCATACTAAGAAACTGAGTGACCTAGCATATGATCTACATAAATTATAGTTAAGGAATCCAGTAGAGGATTGTGAGATACACAGAATAAAAAAAATTATGGTTTTGATCCTTTAATACACTGCTTTAAATGTTCATGGCAGCATACAGAGTCTGTTGCATTCAATTTTTCTTTTGGGGGGGAAAGCACCAACACCATTATGCTAAAGGTAAAACATGATTTTGGGGAAAGTTTTGGTAAAAACAAACAACAACGAAAAAAAACAAAACTTCCTCATAGCAGAAGAATAAAAGGAAAGAGAATGGGAGGAAGAAAAAACCTGAGATCATACTATGCAAAGAAATTCTTGGACAAATAGGTTATCCTACAGTTATTATCAAGATCAGTATTTATAAAAGTTGGGAAAAATACACCACATATACATTATAAAGTATGTTAAATGAAAGTTCTGGAATGTACTCTTTCAAAAACACAGTTGAGGAAAAAAGATTTATCCTATTCCTTAATCACCTTTTTCAGTTACAGAAAAAATGCAGACACACTGACTGCCTAGGGTAGAAATATTTGTACATGCTTTTCTCTTGCTCTGTATCACATAACTCAATAAAATTTTCACAGAACTACCTAGCTTTCCCATAAATGATCACAGGATTTAAAGCCACACTGTCTTGGCATGGTTTTTTTTTTTTTTCCTTAAAGATTTATATTCATTTGAGAGACAGCATGTGTGTGTATGGGGGGAGGGCATGCAGAGGGAAAGAACCCCAAGCAGGCTCCTTGCTCAGCAGGGAGCCTGAGGCAGGGCTCCATCTCAGGACCCTGAGATCATGACCTGAGCCACCCAGGTGCTCCTTGGCATGGCCTTCTAGCCACAAGCTGTGGAGATAATGTCCTGCTACTTTTCTACTTCTGATAGTAGACTCATGGTCAAAGGGGACTAAACTGAACCTGAAATACATAGCATGGACGATGAATTCAATTTTGGGGGGAAAATGTAATTTAAAACTACGTGATATAAAGACCATAGCCCAAAAAATCATGGCGGGTTAGGAATTGCTATCTAATGTCTTATGTTGTTTTTAAATTTATAAATATTTTTCCATACTCTTAAAAATGACTTTTATCTGCTGAATAGACAATGGATGGTTTTTGGATATTTAGGTTGTTTCCAACTCTCTATTATAAATAATGCTACAATAATATTCTTTGTACTAAAACTCTGATAAAGAAAAAAGCCCCAAATAGTCATTTGCTCCTTACAACAGCAAACCCAAGACTTTAACTGCAGTTTCAACTCATCCCGGGAATGTCACTTTTTAACAGTCAATCCCCAAATTTCTGGATGGGCGCTATAGTGAGGTCATCTGCATGACAAAAACCATGCCATTCTCCTCTCCCCAGTAAGACCTTGTCCTGGCCTGAAATAATCCTTTTCTTTTGCTAATAGCTTTCTTGTGTCACCCTCTTTCTTACGAAAGCCTTCCATTTTGTACAACTCCTGAGAGTATCTCTCTACTTGCTAGATGGAATGCTGCCTGATTCACAGATCCTTAATAAAGCCACTTAGATCTCAAATTTACTCCACTGAATTTTTTTTAAACAAATCTACATGTGCATCTCTGATTTTTAACTTAGGATAAATTCCTTGAAGTAAAATTGCTAAGTCAAGGGGTATGAACTTTAAAGGTTTGTAGCCATCATGCCAAAAGTCTCTAGAGTTCTATCCCTCATTCCAACAGCAAAGAGTATTTCTCAGAACCCCAGCACCACCCATTCTAGGTGCCCCTGAAATAATGTGCTATTGTTTCCTCATTATGACAAGAATTAGGGGAAAAAAAAAACTGGCCAGCATAACAGGTAAAATAATATCCTTACTATATTATTTTGCATTTCTCGGATTAGTACTGTTAACCTTTTCCACGTGTTTAGAAATTATTTTTACATATTTTTTTGGTGAATTTCCTGTTGCATGTCTTTTGTCCATTTTTAATTGGAATATCTGTTTACTAACTTTAAAGAGCTTTTTAAAAAGATGGATTGTAATCCTTGTATGGCTTATAACTTTTCTCAGTTTTCAACTCCCTTTCCTTTAAACTTTTCATTATAGAAAATTTCAGACGAACACGAGAAGGAGTAAGTATGGTAACCCCAATGAACCTATCCTCCAGGTTTAACAATAATCATTTGTTTTTTTTAAGATTTTTTTAAATTTATTTATTCGACAGAGAGAGAGAACACAAGCAGGGGGAGTGGGAGAGGGCGAAGCAGGCTTCCCACCGAGCAGGGAGCTCTATGCGGCGCTCGATCCCAGGACCCTGAGATCATGACCTGAGCCGAAGGCAGACGCTTAACGACTAAGCCAACCAGGTGCCCCTGATCACATAATCTTGATACCTTTTAAATGTTTTTTCATTCACTGAAGTTTTCTACTTTCATCAAATTGCTTACTTCATCATTTCGTTTCTTGCTTTTAAGTTCAAAAGGACTCCCTTACCATCAGATACATTTATCCTCTTAGTACAGTATTTTATAGTTTCATTTTTATATTTTATCTGAAATTTATACTGGTATTTAGTGAAAGTTGAGGATTTAACTTTCTTTTTATAAAGAGTTAACCAGTTGGCCCAGCTCCATTTATTAAATAATTTTTCTTTTCCCTGGTGATAATTCAAATCAGTATACTAATTCTTAAATACTGAGGGGTTGGTTGCTTTTGGGTTTCTCGTTTATTAAGTTGACTTACTGAGTACCAGTTTTAATTATTCTGTTAAAAATAGATTTTAAACTTTAAGTAATCTCTACACCCAATGTCATGACCCTGAGATCAAGAGTCACATGCTCTACTGACTAAGATAGCCAGGTGCCCCACAAAACAGATTTTAATAATTTTAAAAAATGATAAAATTACACTGACCTGGTCGCACTTTTTAACAACATCTGGCCCAGGTATGGCATTAAGAAGAGCTATAATAAGGTAACGATTTAGCAGCTTCCCTAGTCCTAGTTCTTGCAAGGTGTCATCTGGGAGGAGTCCATTCCAAAGAAGAATATTGTGGAAGAGCTAAAATAAAGTATCAAGTGAGTATGTAGCTGCTTCTCTAAAGGAAAACTGTAGTAAGTCTCCAACAAACATAAAACGTTGGTCAAACTATTTATTTGACAGAGACACAGCACAAGCAGGGAGAGTGGGAGAGGGAGAAGCAGGCTTCCCGCGGTGCAGGGAGCCGGATGCGGGGCTCGATCCCAGGACCCTGGGATCATGACCTGAGCCGAAGGCAGCCGCTTAACGACTGAGCCACCCAACGACTGAGCCACCCAGGCACCCCTGGTCAAACTATTTTAAACTCATTAGTAGAAGTATCAATTTTACAATCAATAGAAAACATTTCTAAACAAATAATTCTTTCCAACCTCCACATATTTGCTCATCCTATTTTTTTAGGACTATCACCCAAAATCCATCTCAAATAACTTCACTGGCACCTTTCCAGATCAATAATCTTCCTCCTCAATTCATACTCCCAGAGACTGGGGCCATCAGATGCAAGACCACAGGACCCAAGGACTCATGAAGGACTGCTGTTGAAGCCAGTGCCACTATTACTAATGTGTGATCCTGAGAAACCGTTACTGCTCTGATATAGAAGATTAAAAAATATAAGCTATTCTAATAAAATATTGGTTGCCTTCCTCTAAATCCATACCTTTCTGTGAATTTTATGGTGTTTTCCATTTTCTTTCCAGCACTATATTTATTACTCTACCATGCAATGCTTTTCTATACTTTGTGTCATTATTTATGTTGCTCCCTCTTCCTGGAAAGTGTTCAAATTTAAAAACTAAGTTTGCTGAGGTCACCCAAGACCTAATTGTCAAATCCAGTAAACATTTTCAGTCTTTCTCCTAATTCCCTTGGGTGGCATTTAATACTTTGTCTTCACTCTTAAAAACCTTTTGCTTAGTTTCCATAATGCCACCCTCTTGTGACCACTCTGAGTTTCACAATAAATTCTAATGCTTCTTTGAAGACTTCACTTTCTCTGTCTGCCTCTTATGTCAGTGTTTCCCAAGGTTGTGTTCTTAGCCTTCTTCTCATGCTTCATCCCATCTCCTCAGAGGTTGTCATTCATGACCATGGCTCCAAATACTGCCTACATGTGGCTGACTCCCAAATCTCCAACTCCGATCTGTCTCCTACAATTCAGACTCTTGTATCTATATTTTTCCCCATAGATATCTTCAATTCACCATCTGAAACAGACCTTTATCTTCCCTTCAAAGCTCTTCTTCCTGTATCCCCTCCAAAGCCCCCAAAGAATGTCACTAAGTTACCAAGTTTCCAAAGTCAGAAACTTGGCTAGTACCCTAGTCTTCATATGCAATTATCATTTAGTCATCAAGTCCTTTCAGTGCTCCATCCTAAGTATCTTCTGAACCCAACTTTTTACCATCCCTCCCTATTACCACTGACTTAGCAACGACTTCATCCTTTATCTTTAGACTAGGAGTTGGCCAACTATGGCTTGTGGGTTAAATCTAGCTTGCTGCCTGGTTTTGCAGAGCCGGTAAACTAAGAATGGTTTTTATATTTTGAAATGATTGGGAAAAAAAAAAAGTAAAAGGGTATTTTGTAACATGTCAAAGTTAGGACACTGAAATTTCAGTGTCCATAAGTAAAGTTTTACCAAAGCACAGCCATGCTCATTTGTTTACATATTGTTTATAACTGCTTTTACACTATAAAGGCCGAGAGCTGAACAGTTCAACAGACATTCAAAGCAGAAAATATTTACTATCTGGTCCTTTACAGAAGTTTGATAATCTCTGCTCTACAGTATACCAGATTTAAAATAAAAATAATTTTGTAGTTTTTTACTTACCTTTACACCTGACCAGAACTGCCTTTCTTGGAACTTGGAATGTGGTGATGTTTTGTTTTCTACAGTCCTAATTTGAAACCGAGACAGGACAAAATGCAAACTGTTAATCTTTCAGAACCAGAGTTTAAAAAACTCAGTATTTTTTTAAACCAACGAATTAAACCTTAACACATTAACAGAATGTAAATGGAGTGCTCTGATGATATCAAAATTACAATTCCATGTACACTTTGATCCAACAACCCCATTTCTGAGCATGCCTTCTGGAGGTATACTTGCACATGTACCAATGGTGGGTCTATAAAATTATTCACAGCACTGCTGGTAATGGTTTACCACTCACATGCTCACCAGTTACACTACATTATATGAAGGCATATTATGCAGCTTAAAGAATGAGGAAACTACTCTGGTGATGACATGATCTCAAAGATGTACTAAGTCAAAGTAAGGTACGAGAACATGGTTACAAATGCACTTCCTCTGCTATAGAACGGGGGAGGGAGGAGCATATATAAGTAATTCTAATTGCATGAGGAAATTATGGAAAGGTAAAATTACTAACAGTGATTATTATGGCATGCATGTACGTATATGGAGGAGGAAGGGCAAAAACTGGATGGAGGGCAGGAGTGGGAGGGAGGAAGACCCCATTTTAAATATAAATTAAAAAATACATACTCATACTTTTGAACCATATGAATAGATTTCTTACTTAAACATTCTACAACAAGCCTTAACAGGGCATAATTTTTACATGTAGGTATCTCTTCACAATTTAAATTAGCCAGAAAGCTTAGAAGTTCCTTTCTTTTCTCTCCACAAAAGCTCTTCGATCCTGTGAACACTCACTGGATAGCTTCAGTTCATGATCCACTACTATAAACTGATGCCTTCTTAGCAAATGTATAAATATGCATCAAATACCACTTGCTTCATGATACTGTATATAGAATCCTGAAGATTCCACCAAAACTACTAGAACTGATAAGTGAATTCAGTAGTCACAAGATACAAAATAAATATACAGAAATTTGTTGCATTTCTACACACTAATAATGAAGTGGCAAAAAGAGAAATTAAGAAAACAATCCCATTTATAACTGTACTAAAAAGAATAAAATATCTACAAATAAACTTAACCAAGGATTTGGTAAAAGACCTATACTCTGCAAACTATAAAACATGGATGAAAGAAACTGAAGACAACACAAAACACATGGAAAGTTAGTTCCATTCTCGTGGATTGGCAGATCCAATACTGTTAAAATGTCCACACTACCCAAAGCAATCTAAAGATTTAATGCAATCCCTATCAAAATACCAACAGCATTTTTCATAGAACTAGAATAATACTAAAATTTGCATGGAACAACAGAAAACTCCAAATAGTCAAGCCAATCACGAGAAAGAACAAAACTGGAGGTATCACAATTCCAGATCTCAAAATATACTACAAAGCTGTAGTCAGAACAGTATGATACTGGCACAAAAATAGACACACAGATCAATGAACAGAATAAAGAACTAGAAATAAACCCATACTTATATGGTCAATTGATTCTACATTAAAAAAAGGCAAGAATATTCAAAGGGGAAAAGATCGTCTCTTCAACAAATGGTGCTGGAAAGCTGGACCACTTTCTCATGCCATAGATAAGAATAAGCTCAAATTGGATTAAAGACCTAAATGTGAGACCTTAAACCTAAGAATCCTAGAAGAGAGCACAGGCAGTAATTTTTTTTGGCAACAGCTGTAGCAACGTTTTTCATCTAGAAAAATGTCTCCCCAGGCAAGGAAAACAAAAACAAAAAAAATCCCTACTTGTTTCCTAAAGTAAATCCACAATTCACAGACAGTTTCTAGCTTTCTGTGCCAGGCACTGTTCTGAGCACGCTCTTCATCTTCACAGTGTCCTATGAGGTAGGCATTAATACCTCACTTTACATACAAAGACACTGATGCACACAAAGGCCCAAAGTCAAATATCTAGTAATGGTAAATCTGGGCTCCAGTGTATGGATTTAACCATTCTGTGATGCCCCCTGCTATGTTCTTAACATAAAAAAACTGATGTCCAAGTGTGCTAGGTATCATACATGGCATATAAAAAGTGAGAAATATTTTGTTGAAATCCAATTTGCACCTTAATAGGTGTATGTATGTTTGAGAGAACACTTAATATAGTTTCTTTTGTATTACATTCTTAATTCTGTGTTACATGATTAACTATTTCATATAACCTAGAAATCAACAGCTCTTACCTCTTTGGATACAGAGGAATAAAAACATCATCTTCTATTGCTTTCTTCATTCTCACAACAACGGATTTAAGTAAATCCTATTATATAAAAATTTAAAAGCATCAGTGATGGCCACAGGTAGAAGTCTATTTACCATTTTAAAAGTATAGTACAAATTTGTATACACAGAATCAGGTGTTAAAATAACTATCAATTAGGTACAAGAGAACTTTATTCACCCATATTGGTGCACACAGCTGTAGCTAGTGCATTCTCATTGCTGTATAGCATATTCTGTCACATGAATACTAATGATGGGACATTCAGGTGGTTTCCAGTTTGGGGGCTATATTACACACAATATTGTATAAAAGTTCTTATACGTGTCTTTTAATATACACAGCCCTACATTTCTAATGGATATACACACAAGAATGTAATTGCTGGAATTTAGTTTATGTATATACATTCACCTTTGTACATAATGCCAAATTGTTTTCTGAAGCAGTGATATCCCATTTACATTTCCACCAGCCATGTATGAGAAATCCTGCTTCCCTACACCTTTACTAATACGTGGTATCCTTTTATTTTTTAATGTTTACAATTCCTGGGGTATATAGTCATACTTTATTATGTTTTAGTTTTTATTTTCCTGTTGAGTAATGTGATGATGAGCATCCACTCATATTCTTTTTAAGATTTATTTATTTCAGAGAGAGAGCATGCATGTGGGCGGGGGGAGGGGCAGAAGGAGAGGGAGAGGAGCAGACTCCCCGCTGAGCATGGAGCCTGAGATCATGACCTGAGCCAAAATCAAGAGTTGGATGCTTAACCGACTGAGCCACCCAGGGGCTCTGAGTATCCACTCATATTCTTGTCATTTGGTATGCCATTTTGCTAAGTACCTAATTAAAAGCTGCTTGTTTATGTATTTTTTAAAAATCAGATTCTCTTACTGATTTGTAGAAGTCTTTTATATACTCTAGCTATGGGTCCTTTGTTGGTTTATCAATGTCCTTTGATGTAGTAGTAAATTCACTTTGGCACATTCATTTTAATGTTTGTGAATCAAAAATTGGGAACAACCAGGCGCCTGGGTGGCTCAGTGGTTAAGCGTCTGCCTTTGGCTCAGGTCATGATCCTAGGGTCCTGGGATCGAGCCCCGCATCGGGCTCCCTGCTCCG